CCCAGGTGTTCAGAGACTCGTGTATGTAGATGGCGGACCGTTTGGCCCACATACGACGCGGAACAGCATCGACACTTAAAAGAATAAACTACACAAGACCTCAAAGCAGCGGGAATTTTGTCCTTAAACATGAAGAAATTGGACAAACGTAGCTACAGTGGGACGAAACACGATTCTGATTCTTATGTGTGGGAAGGCTACAGAGCAAAGGCGTTGAATTTGGGTACGGATTTGGAGAGAGTGTGTTCCGGTATATGGGAGACAAAAGTATACCACTTTCTTTGACACAGAATGGATTAATTCCTTGGGTTGAAAGGTTTTATCAAGAAAGAGTCGAACACAACGATCAAAGAGACGAGTAGGATAACCATTCGGGTTGAGTATTTTTCTAAGAAACTCAATCTGAGCATGGAAATTCTCATAGTTAGAGTAAATATTGAAAAAACGGTACAATAGTGAATATATTAAACCACGTTTAAATTGTAGAGGAGTGAAACTCTGAAAATTGGTGAAAACCCCTGTGAATGTGGGTTTACGATAAACAGACGTTTTAAAATGGCCATTAGTTCGTGTAATAGTGATGTCAAGGAAGGAAAGTTGACAATTGGATTCAACTTCACAAGTAAAGTTAATGTTAGGATGTTGGCGATTGAGATAAACAAGAAAAAGAGGAATACGGTCCCTAGAACGGAATAGAAGGAAGGTATCGTCTACATATCGACGATATAATAAGGGCTTGAAATTGGTAGGGCAATTATCAAGCCAAGTAGTTTCATGAAAGGATAAAAAAATGTTAGCAAATAGAGGTCCAAGAGGAGAGCCCATTGCTACGCCGTCTACTTGTTGATATAGGGAACCATTAAACAAGAAATGGCAGTTTTTGACAGCACAATTCAAGAGTTGTTTGAATTCAGAGCGAGTGAGATCATGAAAACGGATGGCATTCGAAAACAAGCGATCGGCAATTATTTCTATGGTTTCGTCTAGCGGGATATTAGTAAACAAGGACGTAACATCAAAGCTAGCCATGGTAAGATTATCAGAATTAAAGTCTAGACTTAACAATTCCTGCACAAAGGAGAAAGAATCACGAACCATGAAGGCGCTAGAGCAAATAGGACTTAGAATGGGAACAAAGAACTTGGCAATCTTATAAGAATAATTATTAATACATGATAGAATTGGTCTAAGTGGAATATTGTTCTTGTGTATTTTCGGAAGTCCGTATAAGATACCAATGCGGGAGCCGGTTGGATAGAGTTGTTTATACGTTGCTTGCGTGATCGATTCAGATTTCTTCAAAGAGGTTAGTAAAAGGTTCTTAATTTGGTTTTCACGCTGCAATGTTAATTTGACAGGATCAGCATCAAGGCGTTCAAACTTGGTAGCGTCACGCAAAATATCTTCCATTTTCTGGTTGTAATCGCCACGGTCGAGAATGACAACTCCATTTCCTTTGTCTGGCTTCACGATGACGATGTTTTTGTCATTCTTTAAATCATCGAGTGTTTTCAAATCGTCCTTAGAAAACAGGAAATCAGGTCGGCTGTAACTGCGGTGGCCAGAGAGCGCGATATCTTTCAACTTGGTTTTGACCAGGGTTGGATAATATCCCGAGGATGAAGAAATTTGTTCGTCCTTTAACTTTCTGTGCAACATTTCAAACGGGGCAAAGAAGGCACAACGATCTAATTTGTTGGGTGGAATGGCAAAGTTGAGACCTTTCGAGAGTATTTCCTTCTCTTTGTCCGAGATTAAGCGCTGCGGCGAGAAATTGAACACGATCGTGTCCGGGTCGATCGAGGCTGCATTATTTACGTCAGGACAAAGACGAAAAAGTTTACGGTCTTGAATTCGTTGCTGTTGGTTGAGTTTCTTTGTATTCTCGCGGTCAGATACGTTTTTAAGATGAATAAAATCTAATGACGAGACGAGCGCGGCAAGATTAGAGTATGCGACAGTAACTTGAGATGACAACACACGAATTCTTGCATGTTTAGAGTTAACTTCATCTTGTAAAAGTTTATTTTGGCATTGCCGGTAAGCACTCGAGTTTCGGAGACGCCGATTCGCAACTTTAAACCATAGGAACCGAGGTATAACTGAACGCTTTTTACAGTTCTTCAGAAACTGCAAATACAGCTTCGCTTTTCCTAGTTTCAGTTCGAGTCGTTGAAATTTCCTGAAGGCTTCGAGCGAACCATTGTTGTAGCGGTTTTTCAATATACTTGCAAGTAATGAACCAGGCGGGAATCGTAATCGTAATATAAAAATTGATGCCCAGCATAACGTACGTAAAAGAGCCATATATGGACAAAAATATAGACATAAAATTTATTTGAGAAGTACTAACGTTTTGTCTTCAGAGTAAATGAATATAGTATGACAATGAGTTACAAATACGAATAAATTACTATTTACAATATCAAATTACAAGGTAATAGGAATGCGGAGGATGGGGGGGGGGG